TACATCCCACTAACCAATAAGAGATCACGACCACGCCCATTTCTCCCCTTTTGATTGGCTATTTATCATATTTAGGTAGCAGAAGCGCTTCTTAATCCATGGGGCCTGGACGATGACGATTTTGAAACGAATGTGCTTATTGATAGGAATTTAGCGGTACGGCTACCCCTTAGTTTTCTTAGTTGACAAAATATCTACCTTCCTGCATAGATGGGCCTAAAAATTGTCGACGAAGGCTATGGAAGGACTCCAGAAATGCGTAAAGATGCCTTTTGGGATGATCAATGGGTACCACTGTACTCAGAAGAAAGTGCTTGGGAGAAGAAGTATAAGCATCACGAGGGCTCGTTAAGTCATATAAAGTTAGTTTGCTTCGTATCAAACTTGGTTACAATGTAATCGATAAATCGATTGATTGAGTAATTTGTTTTATTTAATGGGGAAAAAGTGATTTTCAATCCTCGTAATAGTTGGAAATTATATAGTCACAAAATTTTATTGTCTTAATATAAATTATTTATAAATTTTACATGGTGCGCATACCACACCAAATTTGAGAATGCGAAATTTAGCACTGGAGCGCATTTTTGCAGCACACATTTCGTGCCCTGCGACCAATCTGACGTTGAGGTTTCCGCGATCTGTTGCTTTGTGTGTATTTACACCAAAGACATCGTACCACTTACCACGTGACATTTTAGATTGGACCGATCAGTGTCGCAAGTTCGGATGGTACCATTACATGATGGGCACCCAAGCAGTGCGAATATGCGCAGAAGAATGAGTTCAATTAAAGAAACGATTGTTCCGGTCAAACCGTAAGTTTGCTGACCAAGAGTAACCTTTTTTCAGATCCTTGCGTACATCTATGCTTTTTGCAATTTGCCTTTTTATTAACGACAGTACTTTAGTGAGGAAACATCCCGTCGATCATCCATAGCGCAGTTCATTCGTTCCGCTTCCAAATTAAACCTTAACACTGAAGGCAGAAAGGTTTTGCCAAATTCCTTTAGTCTCTTTCCTAAACTAACTTATCCCCACATTGACCTCCTTCCAGTTATCCCAAATCGCCTCCACTCCACACTTCCGCAATCACAGCGCCAAAGAACCATCTGTGCGCATGTTCAATGGCCACGGTAACGACGAGGCTCATGTGGTTACAGTACCCGGCAGTACCCCACGATTCAGTACATCAGTGAGCGGTGCCACCCTGGAACCCGAAGGCATTGCGTCACCAACGAGTGGCGAACTGTCACGAGTGATGTCCGGGGAAAACGCTTTGCAGATGTTTGCCATTGGTGATGGTGATTTCCGTATAGGTAAGCATTAGTACCGGTAGCAGAAAATTTCCTTGAAGAACGTAATTTCCAGAAAAGATGCTAGTACGCTAAATTGTTACATACTGCCTTTGTCTAGTTCAGAGAGGTGATCCTTCAAGCTGGTTAAGCTTACAAACTTAGTCCCTTCAAGTTATCACTACCCTCTCGCTAAAATCAGTATCGGCAAACTTTCGGTCTCGAGTTATCCGCTTGCTGAGCATCATATATATGCGTAGAAATATATGATAATTCCATTTGATAAATGTTTACCAAAATACTCAGAGAAGA